GGAACGGCCCGTTCCGGGGTTACAATTTTACTCACAACGGCCATTTTTGGAACGGCCTGTTGCAGTTTCGGAACGGCCCGTTCCGGGCTAAAATTTTTAGGTATTTTGTTAGTATGGAAATGGCCGTTCTGGGCTAAAAAATATAGGTCTTTTTGAAAATTGGAACGACCCGTTCCAGTTTGGGAACGACCCGTTCCAGTTGTGGGAACGGTTCGTTCTGGGCTAGAAATTTTAAGGTTTTTTGGAAGGTTGGAACGACCCGTTCCCGTTTGGGAACAACCGTTCCAGGCTAGAATTTATAAGTCTTTTTTGAAGTTTGGAATGGCCCGTTCCAGTTTGGGAACGACCCGTTCCAGGCTAGAAATTTTAGGACCTTTTGGAAGGTTGGAACGACCCGTTTTGGGCTAGAAACAACAGGAGCCACTTCAGAAGGCTGGCAGCAGAGAATTAGAGGAAGAAAAGAAGTGGCCTACCTTCATTCTGGTGTTGCCTGAAGCTTTGACAACTTGCTTTCTCAAATTTTGGCACTGAAATCCATCCAATATATCTTCAGCATCTAAGCATACGTTTTGAATCTGCCTGAGCCATTCACGCACCCCATGCTTCTGCTCCCTCTTCTCCTCAGCATCCAACAACACACCTTTCACAATTGACAAGGTGTCTTTGATCCCTTACACATCCTCATACACATGATAGGCACCAGAAGAATATATAAAGCCCACAACCCATATGATAAGAGCAATAAAACTATAATACAACCAGTACGCATTATAAAATCCATAACAAAACACCCTGACTTCACAACAAGTGAGAAGCTAAGAGGTAAAACATATAATCATAATTATAGCATATGGCTGAAGTATGAGATAGAAATCTGCTTACAAGTTTTATTGTACATTAAGAGGTTTAAGCTATGAAGCACTGATAATTTAAATTGCTTCACATATGAGTACCATATACATATCTAATACCAATATTTTTGGATACTTTATCAATATGTATCACTGAAGTATCCGAAACTTTTAAAAAAATTATTAAAACCCAATATTACTACATGAGACATAGCAGCGGGTATAATATAAAAAGTTTGGACCAAACACTACTTTCATTAGCAGCCAAGGTCACAACAGGCAAGCAGCCACAAGAATTTGGATTTCTCATCTCCATCAGTCAGTTGTCATCTTCAGGGTTTGGTATGGTCCTTTAAAATGTTTGGCAGCTCATTCATCTGAATTTTATGGCTACGGTGGGTTCAGTAGGATTGTAAGATCATGACAATTATACGACTAAACAAAATATCTGAACATGATCCAAGCATAAATGAGTATGCTGGAATCAAGATCACTCCACCATTCCAATCTCACAATAGCATTGAAATTTTGACAACCATGATAACCAGACATTTTACTACTAAACAGAATGAAACCAAAGCTCAAATCTCAAAAAGAGAAATTCAATTTCGAGTGGTGCAAAAATACTTTCTAAGTTCCAACTGCAGGTCAATAAGTGATACAAAACCCTTCATGATTCAAGGATATATAAAGCTTTGCAGCAATTTCGGCAAACAAAACATTGGAGATCTCAAGCAAAATATATTTTTTTTAAGGAAAAAAAGGAATCTACTCTGGTGATATACGTACACACAAAATAAATAAACAAATTAACACATACACATGCTATAAAGAATAAGAACCTTATGTTCAGAATATTCTTACCAACCTTCAACTCTGCTATCTCTTGTTCTCGTTTTGCAAATGTTACAATGAATGCAGCTTCCTTTTTCTTTGCTTTTTCAAGCTGATAACCAGTAGAAAAGTGAAATGGCTCAGTGAAATATGACCAACGTATATTGGATCATTTGAAGCATAAAAATTAAAAACTAGATTCTGAACCTGCTCTCTTAAAGACTCTTCAGATGATTTCAGAGCTTGAAGATAATTAATCACCAATTTTGGTGCTAGAAAGTATAAAGAAGAAATAATTGCTTAGCTATATATTTAAAACACAGAAAACAACTATTAACAAAACCATATCATGAATAAAAAACACATCTGTTACTTGCAAAATAATAAGCATAAACTAACCTGGAGTGGTCCCAGCAGATATAAAAGGTTCATTTTGAAATGAAAAATGCCACTTCTTAATCTCAGATTTTGCAGCCTCAAGTTCATTCTGGAATTATACAATGAACTGGTAAACATTTTTAGGAAACAAAGATGGTACAAGTCAACCTATATACTGAACTTTGGGCCACTCTGTTAGGATACTCAACTCCAACCGGTTAGGTTTAGCTGTGAATTTTTTCAAACTAACAAATGGAATTAAAAATAGTGTGTAAATTTTTTTGTAACCTCTGAAAAATTTGTTCCACCTAAAACCTATGAACAAAAAAATTATAATGAAATATTATACAAAGCAAAAAAAGGGAATCAAAATGGATATGAATCGAAAACTCACCTTAAATGGAAGCAATCAATCAAAGAACAGCGTAGAGAAGAGAAAGATTAAAAAGCTCTTGCGAATCACTAACCCCAAATTGAACACTTAGCGAAATGCTTTCATCACAAATTGGCTCACGAACGACTGTGTTGAGCGTAAAATGAAGTTGAAGGTTTGACGGAAAAAGAAGTTTGAGAGTGAAGCAGAAGGTTTAACGGAAGAAGAAGCGGAGGTTTGACGGCAGAAGCGAAGCAGAGCATGCGTTGAAGTGAAGCAGAACGTACCTTGGTAGGATTTTTTTATTTTGAATTTAAATTCTTTAACTCTTTTATTTTAATTCTTTTAATGAAAATTGTAAAAATTTCCATCAAATGGTGGCTGAGTTCGAACCAACTCGATTTGCCAACTCGGCCGGCTCAAATTTAAATCATAATATCAAGTAGTTAATTTAACGGTAATAATGACGGTTACACAAAGAAGAAAAAGATCAACCTCAAAAACTAATCTCTCGTGATCTCTTATGAGACTAAGATAAAGAAGATGATCAATCTAACTCGAAGAACATTATAGTAAGAACAAGAATAAAAGTATATTTTTTAATTAATTGTATGTGACAAGAGTTAAACATTGTGGCAGTTTAAAATCATAAAAAATTTAATTATTTTATGGCGGTTAAAATAATACCTAGAATTGTAACATTTTGTAGCGATTTATTAAAACCGTCGAAAAAAAATTGCTACTAATTAATAACTAAATTTTTTAGTGTAAAAAGTATATATGCTAGGCTGTGAATGAAAATTGAGGAGAGATTTTTACAAAATGAATATATCTCGTCTTTTTCTAAATGAAAAATTGATTACAAGTCCAGGGAGTTCAACAATAATCACTACAAAAAAGTAAGTGATTAGTAGCGGTTATTTTCTGGGGTTTAGAGAAATCGCCAAAAAAATAGTATATTTCTAACAGTTATTTTAACCACCACAAAATGATTTTATTCTAGCACTTTTAATTGATTTTTAAGTGGTTGGCTTAAAATCGTCTCAATATTTTAAGTATTTTATTTTAATCATCTATGTTAGTAATAGAAAAAAAAATATATAGAACGCTCTTATTAATGTATTCAAAAGTCAAAAACCTAGACACAACTTTAGAACTCTCGTTCTTTCGAAAACCAAAAACGGTTCCCCTGCCTCAAACTCGACGACCGCAAAAGACTAAAACCCTACTCTGACTTAAAAAAGTTAATGTCTTCATCAAGATCGACGCTCACCATTCGATTGAATAGGACTTTTCAAAATCGATTATCTATGTTATTAAGTTAAAAAATTGTTAAAATGGCTCATCTCATTTCACTTTCACATGCGCACTCTCATTCTCGCACCAACTCTTGTCCCACCCTCTTCTGCTCTCGTTGTCGTCGTGGGTGTCGGCTTTGGAGCTTCGTCGTCATCCTCCATCGCACCAGGTAAGTAGTGATTGTTTAGGGTTTATGCTTTTGCTATCTAAGCTTTGGGCAGGGGTGCATATAGATTTATTAAAATGAAATGATTATCTTAAAACTATTAATGTTTTACTTGCCCTATAGTATTTTGGTTGAAAAATATGTGTTAAGTCATTGATGCTTGGTGTAGCGATACCGACACAATTTGATTGAATACTACTAGAATTTTTCTTATTACATGCGATTTTTTTTTATAAATTTTTATAAAAATTCGCAGGGAACGTTGTTCTTACAAATTTTTTTGCGAAATTTTCCTGCGAATTTTTTCGCAAGTAATTCTACAAGAATATTTTTTACGAAAAAATTAAAGAAATTACTATAAATTTTATCAACAATTTTTCAAATTTTAAACGCTCATAATGAATTCATCCGAAGCATTTGTTTTCATGTCTCCAACATGTGATACATAATCTTTTAAATTCTAAGATTCTAGATTATAAGTCTAACATTGAATTATACAAATTAACTTGTAAGGTAAGTGTTGTCCCAACTTATATACTCTTTAATTGTTTTATTTTTAATTGAAGTGGGAATTGAAGTTTTTTAAAAATCTTACAATTATAAATTTAAATATTTTTTTACTTTTCACGCAGATTAAAATTTGTCGGAAAATGTGCAGGAAAAGTTACCTGCAAAATTTTTCTACCATTTAGTAAACATTACTTGAGAATTTATTTTTGAAAGAAAATTTGCACGAAACAAAAAAAAAATTCTTACAATTTTTTCTGCAAATTTTTACCATGGAAAAAAATTTCTATGATCATTAAAATTGTAAGAAAATTTGTAAGAAATGTCTGTAAATTATTTTTCGCAACTAAGTGCGGAAAAAATTTCTACGAATATTTTTTTTGCAAGAAAATTCGTAAAAAGTTTCTGCAAATATTTTTTTGCAGAAAAATTTACGTAAAAATGACACTTTTCTAGTAGTGAAAGTTTTCCACATTGTTTATACTTACATATGTATTTAGTGTTGATTTATATTTCTTAATAGTTATTGTGTGTCAATGATGAGGTAATTGAATATATTTTAAGTCACAGTTGCTCGATGTATTCACGCAATTTGATTAAAGTCTACATAATTATTTATGCTTATAGGTTATTGGGGATTTTAAACTGTCAAAAAATATAAAACAAGTTAAATAAAAATATAATTTTGTGGGGGTTTATAACCTCAAGCATTCAATTAGTAAAATTAAAATGTATTCTGTGGGGGTTTAAAACTGTCACAAAATGATTGAATTTTCTAACACTAAAACAAGCGTTTACAGAATATCCATTACAAACCATTTTTAGCGATTGTAGATCTGACAGTTGTTGATGACACTAGAAATATGATTTGTGGCGATTTTTAACCACCAGAAACATCTAAAATAACCACCACAAATTACACATTTTTTCTGTAGTGAATGGCTTGAGGTGTTTTGGAAGAGCTTATTTTAGCCAAAAAAAAATTACTTACAATCTTTTATAATCTTTTCTTAAATTTTTCTCAACAAACTTCACAATTGCAATAATATTGAGTAAGTATTTAATTAGGTCCTAAAGTAATTGCAACTGCCTTTAACTCCTTGAAGTTATTGCAACTAGGGATGGCAACGGGGTGGGTCGGGTACGGGTTTTATGATACCCGTCCCCGTCCCCGCGAGTTAAACTCATCCCCGTCCTCGTCCCCATACCCGTCGGCTATAGATTTTCATCCTCATTCCTGCCCCGTCGGGTATCGGGTATACCCGTACCCGTACCCGTCAATTTTTTTATTTTTTATTTTTTGTAAAAAAAATGATATTTTTAAATTATTTTTTTATTATATTATAATTATAATTAGATTATTTCTTTATCTCATATTATAATAAATAATCACACATAAAAAATATTAAATTTTTTTTAATATAATTAAATTAAAAGTGAGTATTAAATTAAAAATGAGAACGGGACGGGTACGGGTACGGGTACAGGATAGATAAGTACATACCCGTACCCGATTTAATATATCAGATTTTATCCGTACCTGGTCAAACTGGATATTCCCTGTCAAAGTTGGAACGGGTTCGGATATTACCCCGAGGATACGAGTATATTTTTCATCCGCAATTGCAACTGCCATTCCAACTGTTATAACCGTACGCGTTTTCCTTCTCAATGTAGTATATCAGCTGTGAATTTTGTTATGTTAGGTACCTATAATATGTACACATGATGGAAAAGTACATGAGGCTATGTTAGCAACTAAGTTTGCCAAGAATATCCTATGATGCATGAACGCAACAAACACATCAATGTACTTTTCATTTCGTCTTTGAACAAATAAATGATGGAACTGTGAAAGTAATTTACTGTAGGAACAATAAGTTGCAGACGCTACAACCATAGTTTTAAAAACCGGACCGGTCATCGAACCGGTATTTGACTAACATTTTCAAAGAGATGCATGCTACTCATAACCCTGTGAATACCTCTTAACCAACTATACCTATTGTACATAGTGTTCCACATCATGGTAATGACACAATTGTTATGGATGAAAATCAAAATCCCATGCCTGAAAATACCAATAACTATCAGGTAGCAAGTGGTCCTACTTCTAATCATAACATATCTCATAGTATAGATCCTCATATAACTGAAAACACGCATAATATGATAACTAGGTCCAAGTCTGGTATATTCAAACCTAGAGTCCTCATTCCTGAAATAGAACCTAGTACTATTACTTTAGCTTTACAAGATTCGAAATGGTTCAATGCTATGAAAGAAGAATACCTTGCTCTAACTAGGAATCAAACATGGGACTTAGTACCTCTACCACCACATCGGAAAGCAATAGGATCAAAGTGGATATTCAAATTAAAATACAAACCTTATGGAACAATATCTAAACACAAAGCTAGACTTGTGGCTAGGGGTTTTAGTCAACAAGAAGGCCTAGATTATACAGAAATGTTTAGTCCGGTTATCAAACCCGTAAATATAAGAATAATTCTTTCTATTGCTCTTACAAAGGGATGGCCAATAAGACAAATTGATGTCAATAATGCTTTCTTAAATGGTTCATTAAAAGAGGATATATATATATATATATATATATATATGAAACAACCTGGGGGGTTTAATATTCAACATCCTACTCTTGTCTGTAGGCTTAAAAAGGCCATATAAACAGGCCCCTAGAGCTTGGTTTGCTAAGCGAGCTTCTACTTTGATCACTTTTGGTTTTAAACTAGCAAAATGTGATAATTCTCTTTTTATTCTTCTTAATGTTGTTCATACAATATATATATTAGTCTATGTGGATGGCATTTTGATTACAGGGAGCTCTCAAGCATTAATACAGAATCTCATTAACAGATTGAATACTCTGTTCCCATTAAAAGATTTGGGAAAGTTACATTATTTTCTCGGATTGCAGGTTCACTATGATACACAAGGAAATATGCTTTTAACTCAATCAACATATATAAATAATTTGCTGACTAAACTTAATATGCAGGATTCCAAATCAGTAAAGACACCTCTTCCTCCTAGTTGCAGAATGCTAACAAATTCAACAGAAAACTTTGGCAATCCCGATCAATACAAAAGCGTTCTTGGAGCTCTTCAATATGCCACTATAACTCGACCCGACATAGCCTATTTTGTAAACAAATTGTGCCAGTTTATGCATAAACCTCTGGAATCATTGGAGATGTGTAAAATGATTGCTACGATACTTGAGCGGCACAAAAGACCAAGGATTACATATTTAGAAATCACCCAGTCCGCCAATAACTGGATTCGC